CGTTGACCGGTCAGCCAAAGGGAAATCCCTGTGGCCGACTAGCCAGGACTTATCATAACTCAGAGGCACAGTGACTGGACTGTCACATTTCTGCTCCTCTTTTCAGAAGCATGGTCCCTGGGTTCATAAATGGTGGTGGCAGACGGCGTGGAGGGCTTGAATATGATGAGATCTATGGGCACAGACACCATAACTGATTGGTCCCTTCCACCTATCTGTTTTTCTTACCTCTAAACTTCTGTTTTAACTGATTTTGTGATTTTTTTTCTCAAGTTCTAAATCTGAATTGACTAAAACTGACCACTTTAATTTAAAATAGGTCAAACATATGTGCTATTTCTGAATCATGAATGTACATTGACATATTATTGCAAAGAACCTCAATATCTTTAATCTCAAGGACTTTATATATAATACATATTTGAAATTTATTGATCTCATATTGGAGAAATTATTCACTCTCTACATTTGACCCATCCCCTTGGGGAGCACTGGGCTGTCATTGTGCGGCATTCGGGGAGCAGTGTGGGGTTAAAGGTCTTGCTCAGGGACCCAGAGTGGCAGTCTGTGGGGATCAAAGTGGGTACTTGATTATGTAAAGCTTACAATTTCACTTTAGACCTACTTCATTTATTGATCAGAGAGTCCGGTCATATCTTACAATGTTTAAAGTGCCAATCCACTAGTTCTTATAATTATAGTAATGCAGCATATTATCTCTTCAATTCAATTCTGTTTATTTATATAGTGCCATTTTACAACACGTCATCTCAAGGCTCTTTATAGTTCACCAATGCATCGACTCATTGACTTGAAGGCAATCCCTCACACGAAGCATGCTTGTAGCGACAGTGGAGAGGAAAAACTCCCATTTAACAGGAAGAAACCTCCAGCAGAACCAGGCTCAGTGTGAGCGGCCATCTGCTGAGGCCGACTGGGGTTCAAGGAGACAGAAGCAGAGATACAAAAAGCAGCTGTACCCATCTATAATTATCCTTTAACAAATTTTGCTGTTTGAGATAGTTTGCAGCCAGTTGGCCGCGCTGATGTTTTATTTAGGTACTGAGTAGAACCTAAGATTATTTTGTAGCAAAAACTTTTGCTCATCCTTGGCTGCACCAATCATCAGATGGTCCACCAATGAGGTCACATTCCGCCTTAATAGAGAGTGACATCATGTGTTCAAAAACACATTATCACCTTTAACTTGAAGGAGATGACTTAAAGTCCTGATGACTTGAAGCAAGTCATCAACCCACTGCTCCACTGTGGGTAGCAGTGCTGCCTTACAGCAAGAATGTTCTGGGTTCGATTCCTGGCCTGGGGTATTTCTGCATGGTGTTTGCATGTTCTCCCTGAGCATGCGTGGTTTCTCCAGGTACTCTGGCTTCCTCCTCAGTCTAAAAACATGACTGTTAGGTTAATTGGCTTCTCTAAGTTCTTCTAAGCTGTGAATGCTTGTTTGTCCTGTTCGTCTCTGTGTTGCCCTGAGATGGACTGGCGACCTGTCCAGGGTGAACCCCGCCTCTCACCCATTGACAGCTGGAGATCGGCACCAGCAGCTGTTGCAACCCCAGCAGGGATAAAAAGTGACAGAAAATTGACGGACTTGAAATAGATGTTTACTCAGCAACTAATTATTTTTGTAAATTATTATATTTTTTTTATTTTAGGTAAAGTTAAATGAACACATTCTAACTACAAAAACTAATTTTCAATCAGATTAGATGAGCTTTATTGATCTCACAGCGGTGAAATTCACTGGTCACATATTGGCATAGTACTTAAAGAAGGTGCAAACAAGGAGGAAAAAGGTGCATTAGGAATAAAAATAAATAAAAATAAAAAATACAAGGGAGTAACACAGAGATGTGAGGTGTCATATGTACAATCAGGATGGCTTATATACAGGTGGATTGACTTTTACGTTAAAGTGTAGTAGGTAAGGAACAATGGTGAGGTAGTAGTATGACTATTATATTCACATATATTGCAAATTCAGAATATTGCACAGTTAATAAATAGAAAACTATAATATATTTGCACAGTGGTTGTTACAGGAGTTATTGTGGTTATAGTGCATTATTATAGAGTCTGGTGGCAGCAGGAATGAACGACCTGCGGTAGCGCTCCTTCTTACAGACAGGGTGTCTAAGTTTCTGACTAAAGGAGCTGCAGACCAAGATACAATTAGAATTTAGCAAAAATAACGAGGACATTTTACAGTTCAAAGCTGCAAGTTGCTCCTTGGTTCTGTGGCTCAATTGATATACCATTTGATAAACAATTGTTTTGGTTTAATGTTTTTTTTTTTTGCTCTTTGGCCCCATGAAAAAACATTGGTGAAGTGCCTCTGACTGAGAGTAACCCAGAACAAACCATGCTGTGTGGATACTAGTGTTCAGCTGATTTTAGTTGGTATCCATGCCTTTGCATAAACTGTGCATATGGAGAGGAATATCAACAGAATGTAGAAAATCTTATCCTCGGTGTGTATTCCTGATGCTTGAGCATGTCCAAGCTGAGAAAGAGAGATCTTCACTTCATTAGGAGGGCATGTTCAGAAACAGAGACAGAATGAGGGTTTGCAGCAACAGGAACAAAGCCTATCAATATACACAGAAATCCTATTCAACCTAACTTTGTCTTCAGCTGCTATTGATGACTTTTTGTTCTAAAAAAAAAAGGTAAATAATGTGAAGATTTTTCAAAAACCTCCTCTTCCAGCTTTACATTAGAAAAACTTGAATTCCTCCCCTTTCGACGCTTTAGAGACTGCAAATAAAAACTGGATTTATCCTCAGTAAAGCATGCATAAAACAATTTTATTGGGGGATTATTAAAACTGTATATGTTTTATGAATAGCAAACATTACTGCATGTTGTGTTGTTTCCTGAGAGATCTTTTTTTTCTTTTCTGGAGCAGAGAATCATTTTAGAGCCCATCAGTGGACCTGTGCGTCAGAGCACTCCCCTGTCACCTTCACGTTTCGTAGTCATTGACCACATTCATCTTCATCACCATCTAATGAGATTCAGCCTAAAAAATATGCTGTAGGTATGCATTAAAACAGACTCAGCTGCTTAAAACTATACACTAATGTATAGTTTTGTATTAGGGCAGTTAAATGTAAAGGGAAAACACCTTTCTAGGCAGAGCATAAGAGATTTGAAATAAGAAAATGTTCAATATCTAATGCTCTGGAGTTTGTTTGTGTTTCTGCCCTGAACATCAAACATCCCTAAAAACTCCAAAGTCATTCAGCTGGTAATGTTAGCTCATCGTGACTCATGTCTTGACAGAGGCATTTATGGCAAATTTATTGAAGCTTTTAAAAAAATATCAGCTAAGACGGGAATTATTGTCTGTCTGTCTGCTGACTTCACACCAACAGGAACGTGACAGAGAGAGATGAGAGGATTCCTAGTGCTGCCTCCTGATGACCCGCCACCACTGAAGGAAATCAAACAGTGCCATCTTCTGGGAAAAGCTGCATCCTTTCAATAATCTTTGTCTCAAACTAACAAGAATCTGAACTGAGCAGCGTTTTCCTTCTGCATGGGGAGCATCAATGCAGGAATCTGAGGAAATGAAGCGAGTCTCTTGGTAAGACGTGTCATGAAAGTTAATCAAAAATTAGCATTCTAATATAAAGGGATGCACAAAGAAAGGCTAAAACCAGATCACAACATGTTATTTGCAGTAACGTTTCTGCAATCAAAGCATCTCTTTAATTATATGGTCCATAGCCCCTAAAATGTAAATGTATTTACTAAATTATTCAAACAACATCATTAAAGATGTCCCTATAGTTTGATGGAAACAGGAGCCCTTTTAATTACCAACTGGTCCAGCGGTACTGGAGGACCACCATATTGTTGGAACATGTGTGAAGCAACAGGCAGGAAACCCTCCTGCATGGCTATGGAGCCAATAGCCTGCACCGGTGTTCCCAGCACTGCTGAAGCCATCTGTTCAGTGAGAAAACAGTAATGCTGTGGATAGACTGGAGCCCTCAAATCTGCCCTAACCACTCAGTCATTATATTTTCAGTCTGCATAATATATATTTTTAAACATATTAAATCAGGTTTAACACATGGCATACTTATTGCAACACTGTTTTGTTCCTGATAAATTAAGTTTTCGTGTCATCCATCTTTTGCCACTTGCATTTAAGGCACTTGAAACGGGAGGCTGGACAGGACAGTCATTCACAGGACAACACAGGGACACGAGACCATCCGCAAACACTCTCACACCTTTATGGAGTGAATTTTGTTCCGCTATTGTTGCAACCAAAGAAGATGTTTTGCTAATTAAAATGCAAAAAAAAATGGAAACCAGAAATGAAAATTTGTAGAATGTTTTTAATCAAAAGTTTTTTTTTGTGTAACTTTTGTGTTTTTTCCTCAAATCTTGTTTTTTTTTTTTTCAATTTATTTCATATTTTATTTTTTCACGTTTTGTTTTTATATATATATTTTTCAGATAAAACCGTTTTTTATATTTTATTTTTTCAAGTTAAATTGTTTCAGATTTCATTATTTTTTTTACTTTTTTATTATTATTTTTTTTTTTTTTACAGATTTTAATACTTAAATTTTCTTTTTTGTTTAATTTCAGCTTTTAAGATTTAGTTTTAAAAACCCCATTCTTTTCCAATTGCGTTTATTTACCACAGTCATCTTTTCACCATTTATACAAACATAAACAATATGTACAATTTTATCAATCCTCCATATCAGTTATTTTCCCCATAGAACATCTTGTTTTTAATATATACACATTTTAGAGGCAGAATAAGAGCAAAATACCAGGTGAAGATCCGAGCTGAAGCTTTAATAAATATAGCAACATCAGAAAATAACCTCGTAGGGACATTTCAATTGTTCTTGAACAGGGAAATCACCCCAAGAATGTATAATTATAAGTGTTTTGTATCCGAATTCGCCACTCCCAATATGGCGGGCTGCTTACGGCAACCATCATTTTCTTATGACGTCAATTTAAAGCGACAGATGGAGGGTGGTTTGAAAGTAAGACAGCTAACCGGTACAACTATTTGAAAGATATAGTGAATTTATTTCGAGGCTTTAGTAGCTTTGTTATTTTAAGTTAAAATATGTTCGCTGGAAGGTTTCCAGGATGAACGCAGATACATCTTTACTCTTTTTTTCTGCGCCTTTTCTAAAGCTAACGTGCCGCGCTCTGGAAGCTAGCTCACTCTTTTAGCATCTTTAGGTTATTGAGTCCGTTAAGCTGCTGGAGGATGGCGAGTGTGCATGAAAGTTTGTATTTTAACCCCATGATGACTAACGGCGTGGTCCACGCTAACGTGTTCGGCATCAAAGACTGGGTGAGCCCGTATAAAATCTCCGTGCTGGCGCTGCTGTATGAGATGTCCTCCTCTAAGATCACCCTGCCTGAGAGGAGGCGGCTGAATAAGCTCATCCTGCCCCTGCAGCAGGTCTGTTTTTAATAATCCAGACGTGTTTGGTTTCCCTGGGAGGTTACATCTGTTGTTCACCGTGTTTTTAATGTCATTTTTCAGGGTCCGGATCTGACCCTGGGTCAGTTCCTGAAGATAGTGGAGGAGTGTTGTCCTCGGACCGCATATGCAGTGAATCTAAGGTCTGCTGCCTCACCATGTTTCCATCCCACATCTATTATTGCATAAAAACCTATGCTATAAATTTATAACTATTTAAGTTTTAATTCAACTAATAGAGCATCTTTTTTTACATGCAGACCTATTCAATTCAGTTTATTTCTATAGCGCCAATTCACATCATGTCATCTCAAGACACTTTCCAGTTCACCAGATCATCCAGTCAGATTGATTAAAAGTTTTCTATCCAAGGAAAACCGGTTGATTGCATCGACTCATTGACTCAAAGGCAATCTCTTACATTAAGCATGCTTGTGGCGATGGTGGAGAGGAAAAACTCCCTTTTATCAGGAAGAAACCTCCAGCAGAACCAGGTTAAAGGCTGATTTATACTCAGCAACCAGGTTGTCTGCGTGTGTCGCAGTGAATGCAAATGTACCTCCGCCCCTGCCGTAGAATCTGCTGCACCTCTCCAAAATTGTAGGTGAAAGGAGGCCTCTGATTGGTCAAACCTACATCTGCTCTACACTATCAGTATTTCCTGTTTGGTACCTTCCCGGCTTGTTTTGTTTTATGACCGCCATTGCATAAAAGACTCGTGAAGTTGGACCAGCTTTAAGAGCAAGGTGTGTGAGAACGCTGGGACCCTTTTCCCACCTGGATCCCCGCTTCTTTTCGCCCTCATGTTTTTTGTTGTTCAAATTTAGTCACACAATGCCAAAAATGGACAAAAGTTCCTTTTTTATTATCAGTTACCTTAAAAAACTAAGTATATTAAAAAATGAATAGGGAATGCATTCATTTTATTTTTATTGACACCAATTTTATTTATCAACAAGATTTTGTTGTTTTTTTGTGAGCCAAATCACAACTAACCCATGTCACTTTCTATGATCCCAGGTTTATAACAGGTGTGAGGCCACAGAGTGCACACCTATTGTTGCTCACAGTGATCCTCGGTGCGACAAAAGACTGATAACTCTTTGTTGGAAATATAGATCTGAGTTATCTAAAATACTAGTAAAAAATAAACTTATGCAATAAAATATTAACAGGAGAAAATTTTACAAAATTTCATATCTGTTCATTAAATATAATGAGAGAAATCATGTTACAGACTCAAACTCAAGAAATGGAAATGTCATGAAATCTGTACAAAACAAAATGTCATTTTCTACACTATACAAAAGGATGATCAAAGTTGTCTAAGGATAAAAAACTCATTATAAAACTTAACTTAATAAACATTTGTAATTTAATCATTTTGGGCTCTGTGGGTTGCAAAAAATAATAGAATATAAAATCTTCCAAAATGTAAGCAGTTATTTCCAATGCCTGTTCTAAACTAGAACAACAATCCAAGCGTAAATTAGACTCAATCCCCAAACCTAAATGCGTAAATACAAACCATATTTTTTGGGTTCAAAATTCTTAATTTGTATGTAGTAAATTTTCTCAATAAAAATATCAATATTTACTTGTTAGAAAAACAAAACGTAAACCAAAAACATCCATACGATTCACATTTTAAAAACAGAAGTTTAACTGAGAGGAATCTTTGCACAGTATAAGCATTTCTTTAACAATTAGTTTAGCTGGGCTTGATTGAACACGGTAAACAGGAGATCATGTAGACGTTGTTTTCATTGTCCTGCTTGTGATCAGAGACGGATTTATACCAAGATGATCACACTGACTGCTGGCAGCGTTCAGCTACAATAACCTCAAGCTTTCAGTGAAAAAAAAGGCTTTAAGCTGATGGTAGCAAGTTTATCCAAGTGTCAGGATCCACCTCGGTACCCACTGAAGCTTAAAGCAATGTAACATCATGGGTGCTGGAAAGTTTTATACACTTTTTTTCACTACTACTTCAGTCACGCTGTGCTCTGTTTAGTTTCTCTACGCTTAATTGATACAGTCAAATAAAATTTGTATTTCTACATGTATAAACCACCTAATTCTTCTTCATTTAATAAATGCATCAACACTAATTGTGGTTTTCCAAAAGCTCTGGCTTTGCATGTCCAGCAGGGGGCAATGCAAGGTTAAACTCCTCACAGGGAGACATTAAGAACTGGAAAAGTTGGAACAGTTCTGGTCAGCTAAAGATAAGAGTTTGTTTTAAAAAATGAATTTCTGGCTCATTGAACGTTTCTCAGTCTGTAGGCCTTCCTCTGTGGACGCAGCATTTCAGATCTCATCAGGTTCATATCTCTGATGTAGGAATCTGATTTTTGCCAGGAATAAAACTTGATTTTCTCAGATAAAGTGTTTTTTAAGCTTTCCACTTAAATTTTCCTTTATTTTATGTTATTTTAACAGACAAAAACAAAAGTTCTGAGAATACACAATAGTTTGCATTTAGATTCCTTTTTTTTAATTTGCTATAAATCTTATTTTTTTGTGCCATTATTGATTGGTTTTAATTTAATTTGATTTTAATTTCTTCTGGTCCATACGTAGAACCCTGAGATAAACGGACAGCCTTTCAGGCATTTTTAAAGACCTTTCTACATCAGGGTTTTAATCTTAGAATTGAATCTGGTTCTTAAACTGAGTCTGACCTACATGGCAAAGCATCAACAGGGTTTTTTTGTTTTGTTTTTAAGAAATCTAACGAAAGGAATAACAGATCAAATCAGGGTGTCAATTAATCTGTAGGTAATGGTGAATAGTCCGGGTAGATTTAGGAGTTTTTTATTCAAGTAGATCCAGATATTGTGATGGATGATGAGCTTGCTGATGAATTGGATAGAATGTTTTAGGTTGTCTGTGCAGTCAGTTTATTCATTCACACAGAATGTTGTTGTTTCCAATCCCTACAGGTTGCATGAAATGGCAGACGGCGAACTGAAAGACATGGAGTACTTTTTCTCCACTCTGCCCACTCCATTCACCCCTTTTGATTCAGAGGCTTATAAAACCAGCGTTGTGGGTGAGTTAACCTTCTCATCTACTAAACCCTCTTGGTTTAACCAAATCGCTTTGTTTCTCAAGTCTGCCGGCCGCCTGTCTGCTCTGCAGGTCTTTTTATGAGACACATGCTGCTGGCCTACAACAAGCTGTCCTTCAGTCAGGTTTACAAGCTGTACAAGTCCCTGCAGCACTATTACCACAGCCACTATGCCAAGCCCAGGGACGGGCAGGTGGGGCTGCCCACGCTGGCGGCAGATGACTCGGAAATGGACCTGACCAGCGTTGAGGAGACTGTGGGGGACAGAGAGGAGCTGGACACCCCACTGCATGAGTCCGAACTCCGGTTAGCTTTGCTGTTTTATTTGGTTCTAGACTCAATTTGATATTTGAAACTTCAAATTTTATGAGCTGATTTAAAAAAAGAAATATTGATGAACCAAAACCCAGTTTCAGTTGGGCATTGTTTTTTGTGAAAGCTACGGAGCCCCTCAAGCAAGGGTGGGCAATTCCAGTTCCTGGGGGCCGGTATCCTTCAACTTTTAGATGTGCCTTTGGTTCAACACACCTGAATCAAGTAATTAGTTGATTGAGAGGACTTGTGAGAAACTGACTGCATATACTGAGGAGGTAACTCAGCTATTTGCTTTAGGTGTGTTTGATAAAGGAAGGATGATCTCGCAAAAGTTCATTTTTTGCGAGTTCCCGCAATTCTTTTGCAAGATCCGGCAATTCTTTTGGGAGATCCCGCAGTAGTTTTGCGAGATCCCACAATACTTTTGCGAGATCCCGCAATACTTTTGCGAGATCCTGCAATACTTTAGCGGGATCTCGCAAAAGTTTATTTTTTGCGAGTTCCCGCAATTCTTTTGCCAGATCCCGCAATACTTTTGCGAGATCCGGCAATTCTTTTGGGAGATCCCGCAGTAGTTTTGCCAGATCCCGCAATACTTTTGCGAGATCCCGCAATACTTTTGCGAGATCCCGCAATACTTTTGCAAGATCCCGCAATACTTTTGCGAGATCCCGCAATACTTTTGCAGGATCTCGCAATACTTTTGCGAAATCCCGCAATACTTTTGCGCGATCTCGCAATACTTTTGCGCGATCTCGCAATACTTTTGCGAGATCCAGCAATACTTTTGCGCGATCTCGCAATACTTTTGCCAGATCCAGCAATACTTTTGCGCGATCCAGCAATACTTTTGCGAGATCCCACAATACTCTTGCAGGATCTCGCAATACTTTTGAAGAGATCCAGCAATAGTTTTGCGCGATCCAGCAATACTTTTGCGAGATCCCGCAATACTTTTGCAGGATCTCGCAATACTTTTGAAGAGATCCAGCAATAGTTTTGCGAGATCTCGCAAAAGTTTTGCGGGATCTCGCAAAAGTTTATTTTTTCCCTCCATGTCCCTTTAGGGGCTCCGTAGAAAGCTGCTTAATTTCAGTCTTTTTTGGGTTTTAGATCTGATAAAGCTGCAAACCGAGGTCCTCTTTCTCAGAAACAGGCTGAATACTTCCTGGCTAAACAGGTGTGTCTGCACTGAGTCTGAATGAAATGTTTATAATCCATGTTTAGAGATGCGTTCCAGATACAATCAGACCTCCTCATTGACTCCAGGATCATTTCTTTGCAGGCGTATCTTCTGAAGAACGATGAGAACAAAGCCCTGAAGCCTGCTGTGCTGCAGGAGGAGCTCAACAACATGCTGAAGTTTAACCCCGACTTCGCTGAAGCGGTGAGGTCCAGAGCATGTGAACGGAGCAGATTCCCGCTCTCCTCTCAGGAGGATGCTTGCCGCTCAGAGTTGCACCAGGACGCTCCGCCTTAATTTTCCTGATGCTCCAGCAAAATCGCTCCACCCTGACATTTTCTATTTAATTATTAATTTATTTCACTAGCCTACATTAAAAAATTGCATCCGATTGCAAATGAGATAACAGCATATAATGCATGCATGCTATCCATTTTCAAAAACAGGCTCTTAACAGAACGATCACTTTATGGAAACTCACTCTCTATTGTTCAGTATAGTTAGTGTTTAAATTTGCATGTTTTCCAGAAAAGGCTTTGTTGAGCTACTGTATAAAGCCTCGAACTCAACGCTATTCCTGACATTTGAATTGAACAAGCTTCCTGGATGGGAAGAGAAATGTGTTCAAACTTGGAAACAAAGTCCAGTGGATTGTTTTTTAACTTTTTTGGAATTAAATTGGAAGGCAGCTTGACTTTTGAGGAGGAAATTGATGAGCAGCTAGATGCTAGCAGATAACCTGACTAATTATGAATTTGTTCTTCTTCCGCTTTCTCTTTGAAAACACAAATAGCTGTTTATGTTCCTTTAAAATTAAGCTAATTGAGGAGGTTTCTGGAAATCCGTCATTAAAAAGAAACCCAGTGTTTAAGCGGATATTAGCTTTAAATCTCCCCTTTAGTTCAGAGTGGAATTGGATGTTGATTCTTTATTCTCTATAAAACATAGTAGTGGTTTACTGTCATGATTCGGTTGATTGGAGATGATGGTTTCTTCTCATTAACAGCATTACCTGAACTACCTGAACAGCATGAGAGTCCAGGACATCTTCCTCTCTGCTCACAGCCTCCTGCATTACTTCGACCGCCTCATCCTGTCCAGCAGCGAGGCCAAGAGCAACGGAGACGAAGGATATGGTCGAAGTCTTCGCTACGCCGCTCTGAATCTGGCCAGCCTGCACTGTCGCTTCGGCCACTAGTGAGCACAGCAGTCAGGGTTCATATGGATCAACTGAAAACTTTCCTGATATGATTATTTTATGTGCGTTTATCCTCTCAGTCAACAAGCAGATCTGGCTCTACAGGAAGCTATCCGCATCGCCCAGGAGTCCAATGACCATGTGTGCTTGCAGCACTGCCTGGTAAAGCAAACAGATCTATGTGACGTTATGACTGCACTGTAACCCTGCCATGGAGCTTTCATAACTTAATAAATTTTTCTCCGGTAGAGCTGGCTTTACACGCTGGAACAAATGAAAGGCTCTGAAAGCACAGTGCTAACTCAGGATTCAGTGAAAATGGCCGCTCATTTCTGCCTGCCGGTGAGTGAAACGTGACCTTTTACATGAGAATGTGCTCATTGGTGTTGCATTGGCTATTTTATAGGCTAGAGATGAATTTTCAGGACTTAGAACATCCGGTCGGCTCAGTAAAAACTGACTTACCTGGTTGATTAAAATCACAACTTTTTAAACACTGTTTATAGAAGATTTTTTCATATATTTGTTTCTTATTTTACCTCGAATATTCTCCACCAACTTAAAAAAAATTCAACCAAGATTGTTATTAATTTGAACATTATACTTATAATTGGTGTAAATTTGGGGATTAAAGGAATAGTACACTCAAAACATGATTAGCCTTCATTTTCTACTCACCCCCATGCTGAACAACACTCTGGAGTACTTTTTTGATATCTCAAATGCATCTGGAGATCTGGGAGGCTTCTTGCTGTCTGCTGACATTCAAATAATGGAGGTCTATGGCGCCCGAGACAGAAAGGTCCATAAAAGTCCACAAAAAACGTGTCAATATTCCTCCATACTGTTCGTCCAATGTATTCCAAGTGTCCTGAGTGGGTAGCATCCAGAATTTACTCGAAACGAAGTCATTTAGAATGTTTTTAGAGCATAAACAGTAGTGTATAGGATTTCCTGAAAGCGCGTTCACGAGTCTACGGAAGCCGGCAGACCAAACCAGCGCATTCAGCTCGGCAAAGAACTCATGCTCTTCCTCAACACTGAAGTCCTCAGACATTTTTCTTTCGTTGTTTCTTTCTTTGCACAGGTAAACAGCAAACTTCTTCTACGCTTGCATTATCGGCAGAGCAGACGCTGAATGCGCACTTTCATCTGGTTTGGTCTGCCGCGGTTTCCGTAGCGTTGTGAACTCGCCGTCGCGCGCTTTCAGGAAATCCTATACACTACTGTTTATGCTCTAAAAACATTCTAAATGACTTCGTTTCGAGTAAATTCTGGGCGCTACCCACTCAGGACACTTGGAATACATTGGACGAGCAGTATGGAGGAATATTGACACGTTTTTTGTGGACTTTTATGGACCTTTCTGCCTCGGGCACCATAGACCTCCATTATTTGAATGTCAGCAGACAGCAAGAAGCCTCCCAGATCTCCAGATGCATTTGAGATATCAAAAAAGTACTCCAGAGTGTTGTTCAGCATGGGGGTGAGTAGAAAATGAAGGCTAATCATGTTTTGGGTGTACTATTCCTTTAAGCTAATTAGCAATTTTAAGCATCCAAGGAATAAACACAGTTTTAACTTGTTATATGCTTATTATTATTATATATATATATATATAAAATGTATTTAAAGGGGAACGCCGTTTTTTTTACATTGGGCCCTTAATTTTACATTATTACATCGTATTCTACTCACCCATATCAGTTTTGTGTCATTTGGAGCCGTTCTGAAGATATTCCGTTAAGTTATATCCAGGTAACGTCTTCCTATGAGCAATCGACTTGAAGGAACAAACTAAACTGTAAATAATTTATTCTTTATGGTACGCCAGTATTCATAAGATGTAGGCCAATCACTGTCCCCCAGACATCCACGGTTATATTTCTTATATTTAAACTCGGTCAAAAACTGTGTTCCTTCCTGCATATGTGTTGATTTTTTTTTTTTTATAAAATGTTTTTTGTTGTTTGTACAGTACGTACAAAGAAAAACAAAAAGCATATGAATTACAGCAAGCAGGAAGCCCAAAAATATGCATTACAAATAGCATTTTTGTAACCTATGCTTTTGATGTTAGCGTTTGTAAACTTAAATGATAACTTTGATGACAAAAATGTATCAATTTTGTATTCTAACCTTTTTACAAATATAAATTAATTTGCCTCCAATTGGCTCTTACAGATAGATTAATCCATAACCGTTAGAATGGATAGCTGCAGCTCTGAGTTCCTTAACAGACCAACAGATATTAGACAATTTCTTGATTTTAACTTTATTGAAACAGCTTTGTGGCTAAATTGATCAAACTTTAAGTAAAACTTTCTTGAAACTAGATAATTTGTCCTTCATTTAAGCTGGGCTGTAAATTTATCTGCTAATGGAATCACTATTTTGTCCCCCAAAATAAATAAAGCAAATCATTTTGCTTACCTCCTCAAATTAAGAGCAAATACATTAATTCTTACATTTGGTTCACTTTTCCTCACACTTGTGGGCAACTGCAGAAAAATGTGTCGTGTTTGAACCTGCATGTTCGTTACCTATAGAGTCAGAAGCCGTTGCTGATGATCCTGACTTTGCTGCCAGTTTTAACGTCGCCACAGGCGGTTCAGACGAGTTAAAGTGTTTTTGCAGCTTCCCAGCAGGAAGTCTGCTACCTGTCCATGCACGTGTTTGCTCGAGTTTGGATAGGGTAAAGATTAGTTTACTGTTAGTGTCGGCATGGTTCCGCCCCCTCAGCGGCTGCTGTTGGAGGTGATATAAGTTTGTTTGCTTCACACTTATATCTCTTAAGCAGAAATTCCCAGAATCCACATCCCTGATTAATTATATAAATAGTGATGATGCTGCTCTGATGCTTTTGATGATGATGTTGTCGTTTTTTTGTTTTAGTAGACATAAACATTATCATTTCTTTCTGTTCTAAGTTTATATGTCTCTCTGATGATGAACCAAAGCAATATAAATATTTGAAATGCAAAGGTGCAGCTTCCCCATTACAGTTTGTTCTGTAAACAAAGAATGTTTGTCTCTCCTCTCTTCTGTAGTACTTGGGATCTCTGGACATTCAGTCGCTGGTCCAGCAGGGGGCGATGCAGGGCAAGGCTGCACACAAGCTGATGGACGCTCTGAAGGACACGGAGATCCTGCACTGGAAGCACAGCCTGTCGGAGCTGATCGAGATCAGCCTGGCTCAGACCACCTCCATATGGAGGATGTACGGAAAGAGGTCAGGCTCTTCCCTCTGCCAGCCTCACACACAGCCGCCGCTTTCTGGGTCCAATATTTACACGCACCCACCGGGAGGATTTCAAGTGCGGCTCAGAAAGTTGTAGCTTGACCCACATTACTGTGGGATTTTCAGGATGTTCGTGACTAGGGCTGGGAATTTTTGCCAAAGTCCTGAATCGATTTTGATTAATACAGTTCAAAATCGATTAATTTCCATTCGATCGGTTTTTACAATAACAAAAGTGGTTCAACTGTGTTTTAAAACACTCATGTATTTGATTTTTTTTCCTGTCACATTAAACACAAAGTGCAAACTTGGAAGTCAGACAGTTTAAACCTGAGATATGAACAGAACTGTCTCATAAGTGCGAACTTTTTATGTGAGAAGTGAAAAAGTGAAGCCTCACTCGAGCAAGCAGACGTGACACTGCAGACATGCATTAGTGCATTATCTTCACTGCACAAACCATATGTCTGTAACAACTACAGGGTGTTTTCTGCTCAGCCTCCATTTGATAATGTCTTCAGTCAACCTGTTGGCTATATTTGCAGCTGTCTGGCTTGAAGTAATCTTCAGTGCATCTTTTCTGCTCATTTGAATGTGAACGTCACGCATCTTAAAACTAATCGATCTCATTCCCTAGACATCGATTTTCCAAAAATGTAAAGGAATCGATTCAAAATCACAGCCCTATTCGTGACTCACCTTGAACTAAAACGTTTCCATCGTCCATCTAACCCTATCTGTCCGCAGAGAAACTTGGAATGAGGAGAAACAAAAATTCAGGACAGTTATTCAAACTTAACACCGGGGGTCCTTAAAGTCCTAAATGTAAAAAACAACAAACAAAAACAAAAAAAACAAGATGATAGCCCTGAAAGTGGTTATAAATAGCTTTTAAAAGACACTCATTCTTGCAGGTTTTTGAATGTTTTTCCAGATTTGAAATGGGGCTGAAAAAATTAATCAGATTGATCGATTATTGAAATAATAATCAACTAATTTATTGATCCATTAATCGTTAACTGGAGTAAAGAAACTCTAAAACGTGCCTTAAGCTGACAGAGCCATCCACTTAGAGCCGTTGTAGCTAGCAGATCTGCTCTGGTCCTGCTTCATGGCAGCAACCTTACGCTACATTATTGGCTCAACGTTGCCACATGATGTAAAACATAGTGGTTGCCCAGACAACGATAATAACATCAGGCAGCGTCCGTGTGCGGAGTCGGGAGCCTCTGTAGCGTTAGCGTGTCTAATGACCGATAAAGTTTTACCTGATCAATAACAAAATTGAGAAAAATCTGTTTATGGTGAACAAACTGTTAGACCTTGCTATAAAGGGGGAGACCCGGGTAGCCATGTGGCTAGCTGTGCTCAGTAGCTAACAGGTTAGCCTCTTTTAGCTTGGTCAGTTAGCCATATTAAATACGGTACACTGCTTTTGATTTTGTATCAAAAACAACCGTTTATTTCCTACAAGTAGAATAACTGTTTTATTTGTCTAAAGTCTCTAAGAAAGTCATTTTTAAGATGTTCCATTTGTCCTCCCTGTCCTCAGATCATAATAAAAAGAACTTTTGTTTTTGTCACCTTGTTAAATGGCAGAGTTCAGTCTTAGAACGTAGTACTTTCCTTCAAGACTGACAATTATTGTTTTCTATTTTAGGCTACTTTAGATCACCAATAAAATGTGAAATAATAACAAATACAGGAAATGATATGTTAAAACTCTGCCCCCAGATTTAAAGAGGCTGTGATCGGAAAGACGCTGTTTCAAAAGAATGAAATCCATAAACCTCACTCTGGAAAAACAGGGGGGAAAAAAACTAATGCCAGTTGATTTATGTTTGGGAGGGGGTACTAAAGAAGAATAACAACAAAAGCAAGCTTAATTTTTTTTTCTTTTCTGCATTGCATCTTTTTAAAATTTCAATTTACAAAGTCTATTTCTAGCTTAACAATAGTGGAACAAAATTCACTCCATAGAAAAACAGGAAGAGCTTCAAGCCAAGGCTTCATTAAAGCTTCATGTCGCCATAATTTGATGTTTCCATGTACTACTGATATGAATGTTATCATTGATTCTGATTCTATGCGATTTAGTTCTTTATTATGTTTACATGATATTAAAAGTATCATAATCAATGGTAGCGGTAAGTGGAGGCCAACACACCTCAGCTTTAAATGTAAAGAGAATTTGGCCTTGAAACTCATCGTATTGCTGTTAACCGAGGTGTGGAAACCATGACACGAACAAGCGTTAAAAACCGTTTTTAATCTTGGTGCGCTCTCCTTCCAGCACCATGGCTCTGCAGCAGGCCCAGCTTCTCCTCAACATGAGCAGCCTGGAGCCGGTCAACTTCGGGGTCCATCAGAATAACACGGAGGCGTTTGCTGTAGCTCTGTGCCATCTGGCCGAGCTGCATGCTGAGCAGGTAATAAGCTGCTTCCTCTCCTACTTCTCTCTGGGAAGCTGTGTTAATAAACAGGTTGGTGCTCCAGCTTCTGGCGGGGATTCATCTCCTGTCCTTGTTTCTGTTCCAGGGGCTTTACAAAGCTGCTGCAGAGGTTTTCCAGCATCTGAGGGAACAGTTTCCTCCTCACACACAGCATTCAAAGGTATTTTCTTATTGCACTAACATGTTTAAGTTAAAATATTTTATAAATATATTAATTTGTCTTCATCTTGATTGTTTCTCCAGCTGTGGATGCTCTGCGAACTGAAAATTGAGTTTGAGAGACACATGAACAACAGGAAGTACCATTTAGCCGAGCCGCTGGTGAAGGCAATGTCTGCTCTAAACCAGACGGAGGGGCTGTACCGGTGAGGCGGAGGCACACTTCTTCCCTTCTGCTCCTCATAGCTGATGTTTCACACAAGTTTTATAATGTAGCCGTAGTTAAAAACGTGTTTGATGACAGGAAAGCACAAGTCCTGAAAGCCCTGAACCGCAGCACAGAGGCATACAGCATCCTGCAGCAGCTGCAGGTTCAGTGTGAGAAAACCAAATCCACAGAGATCATCATCAGGTTTGGTTCTTGTCTTGTTTCTGCTTCCCGATCCATCTGCTGAGCACCAAACGCAGCCCTTCCTGTGGTTTTAACCGATCCGCTTCCATCCAGGGTGATGCTGTCCACCGCCGAGCTTCACTGGGAGTCATCCAGCTTCTCCACGGCTCTTCCTCTCCTCCTGCAGGCTTTGGCTCTGGCCAGGAAGCACCACCTGCAGTCGCTGGCCTCTGAAACCGTCCTTCATCTGGCCTTCACTCAGGTTAGCCTCAACAGGAGGACCTTAGAGCCTGCCTCCATCAGCAGCTTCCCGCACAACCTGAGAGCAGTTAATGCGAAACAAAAGCCTTCGCATATCAACTTTAATTAAACTGTACTGGATTTTAAACTGAGGTGTTCATATTTCCAGAACTTGCTGGTTTCATTCCAGCTTTTTTTTTTAAATCATTTTGAGGCAGAATCTGCTGCGAAAAAATCAAGGATGTGGATATTTGCATCAGATTAGCACATAGATATGAATATGGAGACGCCTCATTCCTCTGCTGCTAGAACTGATTAAACCAGATCTGCTGGAATTACCTTCCACAGTAAAAATGGGGGGAAAAAATTATTCATTTCTCTGTGATAACATCATTTGTTAAATTTGGGATAAATTACGGAAATTCCCATTAATCATAAAGCGAATCCTGCAGGGAAAGCAGCTGATAAGAGACAAAATATTTAAGTCTTTAAGTTTCCTAAAGACAAAACTTAAAGGAAAAAATGGGAATCAGCAGTGAGAAAATGAAGGTTATTCAGTTTAAACTAAACATTTGTGTCACATGTGAACTTTTACCGTATCTGCTATAGATGTACAGATCTGAGATGGAATATTATGGACACATATTAGATTAGAGTGAATAAAGGGAGAATATAATAAAATATAAAATCCTTTTATTATAACTTATATTACAAGAAAAAATGCAGTGAAAAAACTTATTGGAAATATTGTGGAAATGAGGTCATTTTATGAGGAAAAAACATGAGCATAAAATCTAAACATCGCATGTATGTGGGCCTAATTATAGATTGTTTTATTTTAATGACAAAATAAGCCATAAAATCTAAAGAATATTACAAGAAAAATACATTTTAATATCACAACTATGAATTATGACAGTAAAATCCCTTTAATACTGAATAAGTCTAACAGCAGATCTGCCGCATCCAACATGGCCGACACCAAGTTATCGCAGCATAACGTCAAGAGACCCAATGAGACGTGTCTCTGTAGAAAACCGTAGAAAATAACTGGACGATCTGACGGCATTTTAACATACGACAACAACCTTCCTCCCCCTGAACCAACTGAGCAGCTCCTTTAGTGAAAGACTTTTACAGCCTGTTTATAAAAAGGAGCGATAAAGCAGCTCATTCATCCTTCGGCACATTCTTCTTCTCCTTTGACTATTTTAGCTGATGTAAGATTAGATTTGTCTGCTATGAGCTCAATAAAGTCAATTAAGCAACAGTGGAAAGAAAAACTGCATTCAGCCAGGTTTCCCTCGAAAAAGAAATTTTATCTCAAGGGTCTTCCTGGTAAAATAAAGGTTAAAGAACCTAAATTGTGTTTTGATTTTGGATGGTTTGCTAATGGTTAGTTAATCATTATCATCCATATAAATCCTAACTAATTAAAAATGAACCAGTTGATGTTTTTTAAGGCAATTCTTGAAGCCAATGTTGATTTTTCTTCTTCCTCCATTTATATGATTAAATGACAATTGAAACATTTATTATTAAATCAAACGACTGATTAACAATAGAAAACCGATGGAGCGGCTAAAGCAACAGCTGCTGGACCAATGGAGGAAAAAAAAACGCTAGAAATGATCAACTTTAACTCTAATCATCATAGTTTATTTACAGTCTTCTTAAACCGAACATCCAGCAGTAAGATTAACCGACAAACTTCTTGTTCTTTTCTGAACTCCAAATATTCTGTTTTTATTCTCCTCCAGCTTATGCTGGGCATCCCTGAGCAGGCTCTGGCTGTTCTCCATGAAGCCATGGAGCCCATCCTGGCCCACGGGGCCGTCATGGACCGAGGCCGCGCCATGCTGCTGGCGGCTCGCTGTCACATGGCCGTCGCCCGGCTGAAGGGTAACATTTAGCCTCTAAACATGCTCTGATCCAGCCGTCTGGACGCTCCCACGTCTCACTCTCTTCTTCATCCCGTCATGGCAGATCTGCATTCAGCGGCGCTGGCGGCTGACTGTCTCAGCGAGGCGGAGTCGTATTTCTCCAAGCTGAGCTGTAAGGAGCGTCTCCGGGACGTCCACTACCTCCAGGCGCAGCTCTACCGCACGCTGGGACAGACGCCGCAGAGCAACAGGAGCGCCATGATGTTCAGGCTGCTGGACCAGGAGCTGCAGTCTCCAGCGCCGCTCGTCTTCATGCAGCTGTGACCGACGTTCCCACGGCGTCATCAGACTGGCTGCTCCTGTTCACAACACCTTAAATCCTCAGAACAGGAGCCTACTGAACAGAATGCATCATTTCCACCAACCAGGGGTCATAAATAAAGAGACGTTAGAGTCAGAACGTTCCATCCTGATTTGTGGTTCAGTATCAGTTTGGGTTGAACATGGCGGCATCATTAAGCTCTAAGCAGGAGGACAAAGTGTTGAAGGATCATCAGGCAGAGTCAGATTCAGGCCAGGGTTATGATGAACGATGCTAGTGTCACATCAGTGGTTTTCAGGAGCCTGGACCTTTTGTCTCTGTTATACTGATGAATAGAGGCTAAAGAGGGAAGCCATGATGTAATGATGCAGCTCATTTATAAGGCGACATTTTAACCCCGTCAGCCTTCGGATCTCCTCGGCTCAAAGCCTCGTTTGCTTTGAAAAACCCAGAGAGATCTGAGGCAGAGCTTCCTTTCACAGTGGAAATATCACAGAAAGATTCTTCCTGCTAACGTCTCCATGATTTCTAATAAAACCAAAAACTGTACATTTATTTCACAACATTTCCCATCAGTGAAAATGCTAAAAAATCTATCCATAACATGAGATAAACAAGACAAGATTAAAACTGGTTTTGGGCTCAAATTTCCTCTAAATGTAGAGCCAAGTTGGTAGCCTCATGAGACCATCCTGATCTCACGATCTTTCAAGGTTTCACTCGCTAATCAGTCTGGAGACTCTCCGTTTGGAGCAAATTTGGAGNAACACTAAAGACAAGGAGCATTTCTTTATTGTCTCATTAATGCCAAGAACCATCAAAAACAAGCAAGAATGAGGATTCTAGGTCTCATGTTAATGAAAATATTCCATATAAACTAAATCAACTTTAAGAGAGTCTAACAGTCCTTACTCTCTAAGAGTTGGACGAAATGGTAAACAATGATATCGTTCACACAAGGTAAAGATGAAGACTGATGGTCAAGTCTTTAATCTAAAAATATTGTTAGACTTAAAAATCTTCTTTTAAAAGTCATTTGTTTGTTTTTTCTAGCTCGCTTTGAAAACTGGGTGAATGGACAAAGTTCTAAGTTACAAACACCAATGTTCTCACAGAACTAGTGCACTGTATGTCTTAGCCTCTAAAAAAGATAGAAGATGTGATGATAAGGAAAGGTTGCTGCCAATGAAATTGTCATCCAGTTATTTTGGGTTAAAGCTTTATATATTTCACCACCTTGTTCCGGTTGATTTTCAAGGCACCAAGAGCCGCTAGTTGCAAAAGACTTGATGCTGTCCATGTAAAATGCATCAAACCCTTTTATCCATCCAGTCAAAGACAAACGGCTGTAACTAGGACAGTCTGCTCTATATAGTCATTATAATAATGGTGGTTTTTTGGTTATTTAATCACCTACAGATGTCATCCTTTTTTCCCGTCACTCATTTCAATACCAGAAAAAAACCTGCACAGATTTAAGAAAAAAGGGCAAATCGGTGAAGACTAATGTGTAAAAGAAGGAAAAGATTAGCTAAATTTTTATGATGAACGTTTATAGGCCACGTCCCAAAACGATTACTGCCAGACATGTCTATCAAGTATTTGTCTGACAACTCAAACAAAGGTTTAAGATCGCACAAAGCACACACCATGCACCGATTTGAGAAAAGTGGATGTTTCCTGTCATGTGAAATCAGATCTAAAACTAACATTAAATTCCTTTCAAGAAAAGAACATCAAACAAACATAGTAGTGGCAGAGTGATGATCCTGGGATGCTTTGCTTCCTCGGGATTTACATGCTGTAACTGATGGAACCATGAATTCTCTCTAGCAAATTATTCAGAGGGAGAACATCTGGACATCAGTCTGGGATACAAATATCAAATGCACTTTAGATATGCATTAGGATAATTAAATGAAGACACCATGAAGTCTGAAGTAAAAAAAAAACAAGCAGTTAAGATCAGGCTTGGATATCATATCAGAACACTTTTTTTCTACTTGCTTTTCTGAGTAGCAAAAATACCAGAAAAAAAAAAAAAAGAAAAAAAAAAATATATATATAGTTTGTTTGCTGCATCTTTAAAAAAGGACAAAGCATTACCTTAACATCTTTTATGCATTTCTTCCTCTGTTTCCCACAGGCCAGTTTGGCCCACAAAGTTCTGACTTTGGAGGAGCTGTCCATGCAGTTAGTGAACCTGCACCAGGCTGTTATTGTTATCAACATCGCAGCAGAGTATGAATCTTAATTTTATTTTTTTTATCTTCGCTCTTATAGTTTTGCATGGTATAGTCCTGCCAAAGCAGGGATAAAAGCCCCATTTACGCTACCCCAGTAAAACCAATCCATGCCAAGTCCAGGCCGAGCTCGGATCAGTTAACTGTGCCAAGCTCGGTTCCTTGCTACCGTTTACACATCACAGTAGCACGATTCCTCACCTCCTAGTGACGATCTGCGGTACTTCTGCTCTCTAGAGGGAATCAAGCAAATCAACATTGCAGCGCCTGTAACATTCAGGAAGTTTGGTTATCATTGTGATATTTAGTTGTTGTGGATAGTTAGGCGAAGAGGGCAGCCTTTGGTGACCTTACTTGCCAGAGTCGGCTTTTGGGAAGTGGATACGACAAACAATAGTCTAATCAGGGCTTACAGACGCAGGAAACAACGACAGACGTTGAGTTTCATCACACTGCTAAGCAGAATCATCACTGGAAATTGTGTGGCATGGTAGGGAAGCTAGTATTCTTATGAATGTCTGATATTTCATGATTATGGGGGGTGACTGTAAGGAGATGACGTGGTCTGCTCATGTGCTCTTTGTTATCTGGGGACTGAGCCAGAACTGAACCATTCCGAGCCCTACGGATTAACTAGTATCAGTTTAGCGCAGTTTAGTTGTGTCTGGCACGGTCCGGTTCAGTTTTGCATGCCATTTACACTAAACAGTTATCTCGGTAACTGTGCTCAGACCGATCTTGGCACGGTTTCAAAAAGGT